TGGACCTGGAAAGCACGTGGGGCTCGTGTTAGCATTAGCCGCCTTCATGCCTGCTAGCTTGGTCCGGTCGTCCGGGGTATCATCCTCCGAGCCTTTGTCTTTTTTATTACCTTTTGGCTTCGTTGTCTTGTTCATAATGCGATGGCACACTACAGATTTGCTGCGCAAAAKTTTAAATGTTATTTAAGGTGAGATAATGGTGGAGTTGAGTCGGAGCTTCCTCAAAACACGTCTACTCCATATTGAGACCTAGGCCACGCCCCCCCTATTTTGCCAATTTTAATGAAAAGTTTCATACTTTTCACAAGAATCACAATAAACTAACAAAAAAGCTTGCTGTGCAACATGATGGATTAAAATGGATCATTTGATTCTTTGCATAGGTTTCACAGATACAGCGTGTTTATATTCTCACCCATATTTAGATTACAAGCAGCAGAGGATCCTCCATCTGGAAGACGACCTCCCTACAAATGAGCTAAAACCACCCCAAACAAAAATAACTTTCACAAAAAAAAAAAAAGTGGACATATTCTAGTCTAAAGGACTCAATTCCCCAAAAACAGAAGGATCAGCAGGTGATTTTCAGAACCCAATCACTCTTCATCACTTCACTTCGGCTCACTGTCACCTGCTTCACAGTTTGGAGGCTGTGGGTAACTTCTTCCTCTATAGAGGGACCGAACAGATTTAGTTTGTGTCAGAAACACTTAACTGTCTCATAAGTCACAGCTCAACTTAATGATGCGTGACCAACTGAAGTGTCTGTATCGACTGACTTGAGGGGGAAAAGCTGGAGCTTTTATTTATTTAAAAATAATTCCACACCAACTGTTTTACTCCCTCCTAGAGGAGTTGGCAGCACTGGACTCAGGATGACTGGAACAAGATTTTGGGGGTGGAACAAGATTCCTCAGTGTATAATTTCCATCGTGAAAGATAAGCAGTTTGGGAGGGTTTTGCTGCAAATAAACTTTATGATCTTGAGAAAAATAAACATTTTGCTCAACTGACATTTTCCTGCAACATTTCTTTGATGGTTGAAACTTTGTCACGCACCAAGGCAATGACCCAAACACACCTCAAGCCTGGACTTACACCACTTTGAGAAGGGGTGTCCAGTCTTGGTCTCCTGCATGTTTTTGGGATTTCTATCCTGCAACAAACCTGATTTGAATGAACGGGTGATTAACAAACTTCTGCAGAACTTGAAGCAGTAATTTAATCACTATTAGATGTGTTGGAGCAGAGAAACAAGTTAAACATGCAGGATAACAGCCCTTGAGGACCCAAATCTGTTTTCACAGAGCACATCTGAACAGGATCAGTCTGTAAAAACACTGAACTCAATACAAATGCTAACACATTGAGGCTTTTAGTAAACTGCAGGCCGCTGCACTGAGGTCTGACCTTTCTTTGATCAAAGCTGTAGAAGCCATCTGTTCATAATGCMGTAAAAACATTTAAACACTTAGGAGAAGCATCCAAAATAATTTTTAACCCACACGTGAGTGATTTTGGATGCATTTTTGCTGACTTCGTATTTCTGCGTGTGCATACCTTTCCATGTTGGCCGAGTCTCTCGTAGCAGATAACTGCATCCTCCCAGAGCTGCAGCTTTTCATAAAGCAGCAGAGCTGAACTGGTGCAGCCAAGGTCTATGAGCAGGCTGGCCAGCTGTTTCTGCAGAGAACAAGAAAACAAACCAGGACACACTGAAACTCACAAAGCKTGATTACAAAAAAAGTAACACACCTTGACCTTACTGATAGAACTGGTTTTATTCTTTGTTCTAAATGCAGCATGYAGAGTGATTGTGAGCACACTTGGTCCTGTTGTTGTGAAAACAAGCTGCTGACTGAGTGTGATGAGGGCAAAGGAGATGCGTCTTGAGGAAGCAAAGAATAACTCCTGAGTGTAGTGTTGGGGAGCAAGATGGCAGTGAATTCATGAGTTGGTGCTGAACCCTGCGTGTGGCTCAGGTGCCAACAATTTGAAGTAGTTGTACAGCCTCACTGGCTGTAAGCTTAGGCTACGATCAATATTGTGACAAGGTCATGGAAACAACTTAGTCAAGCGTGACGTGATCTGCATCCTGATTGGGTCAGACGGAGTCATGGGCGCTCGTACAGCGCGGTGAGGACACAGGAGAACATCTCAGTGATGAATAAAACATAGTAAATCACTGAAGGTTTCCAAATGCCACRATTCAACCACATGCTAATAGGTTGTTAGGAGCGAAGCAAGGTCACCATCCTGTGTGAAGGGAGTCTAAGAGATTAAAAATTACCCTAATAAAAAATAATAAAAAGTGAAATATTTTCTCCCAAAACAAAGCAAAACATACAGAAAGAATGCCAACTGCAGCCATAAAAAGACTTTTGGTACTTTGTTCCACATGTCTTGGTTCTGCTGTGAAAAGAAAAAGCATCTGCTGCAGTCCTCCTCCTCCTCAGCCCACTTCCACGTCCCCAGGCGCCGATACACACTCTTCAATTCCAGCTTTATTGCTGTTATCAGTTATTACACGCTGCCTCGCTGATGTCTCCTCCCCAGCTGATCTCCCACTCTCTACAACACTCCTCCTCCTTTAATCTCTTGGACAAGTCCAAATCTTTCTATTACTGCTTTTTTCTCCTTTTTGCTCCTCTTCCAGTTCAGGGTGGGTTTAATATTTATCTTCAGAGATCTTTTTTTGTAATAGAACGTCATTAGTGCCGTTTTCTATAGTCCCTGTGAGGCCTTTAGCTTTACATAAGCCCTTGTTTCAGAGTTTTTGGCTTCTGCAAGAGCATTTATTATGAACCATGTTCAAAACAGAACAAACTGAAGGCAGAATGGCAACAACAAAACAAAGATAGCCTCCACAGAGTTAAATCTCTGGAGATCATCAAGTAAATTGTTTTATAGTTACTACAAACAATTCATTTTCTTTCATTCTAATAAAAGCAATAAACATCCTAATGTGTTTGTTAAGAGAATAGGTGTGGTACCTGAATGGCCCATCTGGGTGGGACTTGGCAGCAGTAGAAGACTTTGAGGCGCTCTGTCACAGGACAGCTTTTGTCTTCAAAGTGGTCCACTATCGCCTGGAAAAAGAAACAGAATTAGTATTCCTGGCAGGTTTGGTTAATTTCTATCACTGTTTTTACTTTGATGCTTTACAAACAGATTTGGCTGTTTGGGCACTATGCTGGTTAAATGTCAGTGGGGTGTGGTACCCMCTTTGGACCGGGACACAAGCAATGTTTTAGTGCAGAACAGAGTCATAAAGCGGTATCCTCTGGTTGGATTTGACAATCGAGCTGATCCTAAATATTTGACTGGGAAAAAAAATAAAATCAGAGGACCTGACTATCTATAGACGGATCTCAACATGAAGCCGTAAGTCCACAGGTACACCTTGTTGTTGAAAGATGGTACAAGAGTGTTGTCTCCAGAGGGGTAAGACACATGAGTGTAGTGCTGTGCTGTTAGGAACTCTTCAATCACTACTAGGTGTCCTGAAGTCAAACTTTATGAATCCCTGATATCCAATGCTTGGAATAAGCCTGGTCCATKTCAGCTGGTGTAGTTCAGCTGGTGGCAGCACTGACTTATAGAAAGGGATGATTTGATGTGTTGTAAAGAACCCAATACTTGTGGTTGGATAGAGGGGCAAAGATATGAGATTCTGAACTGTTTGACACACAATGTAACAATCCTCACACTCTATTACCTGGTTCACACAACAAGATTTTAAAACTGTCATTGATTTTCAAAACCTGAGGACCCCC